TGTATCATGATTCCCGAAACCAAGAGGGCTGGATAAGACAATTTTATGGCATGATCACAAACAGGTTTGTGGAGGACAAAATGAAGCTAGAACAACTTTGGGAGCTTGTCACCCTTTCACAGAACTACAGAGACTCAAACAAAAAGCAACCACTTTAAACTGAAGTCCTTTCTTTCTGCAGAAAATTCTTTTGAGCAGCAGAGTTCCCTAAGAGGAGTGATGACTTTTGCCTTGGGGTTTTCATCTCCTCCCTTGAACCCATTCCGACTTTTCCCTTTCTCTTCATCCTCATTTTAATGCGAATGGTTGTCAAACACAGAGGCTTCTTCTCGTCACTGCTATCTTTGATGAAATAAACTCTTGCCTCTGTTTAAACTTGCTTTTGTCTCAATAATTCACAGTGTCAATTACCTCTTGTAGACTGGAGGAACCTCTTAAAACATAAACTCATCTGTTAGTTTCCTTCCTTATTCAATGTCCTTTATTAAGCCAGTAAGATTGGGAGCTACTTCTGGTTCACACTTCCTTTCATTACCTTTGTTTCAGGGAAATTTTCCTGTTATCACTTGCCCTCTAAATGCCAGCATTTGAATAATCCTTTGCTGAAGCCTCTGCACAAAATGTTTCACTGAACCCAAATCTCTCTTTTTTCTCTCCAAACTCAATCTCCTTTAGGCTGCTAGAGATGCTTTCAGCCCTCGTCTAGAGCACAACAGAATCTAACCGCACCACCTCCATCCATGACATACTGGTTTTAGGATTTCCAAAACTGCTCTTGGGTTTCAGCAACACTGCCTATTTTACCTCATGCCTCTCTCTTTCTAAAGCTTCTTTCTTATTTCTAGGATTCTTTAGAGCACACTTTCCCCTTCCACTGGCTTATATCTTCCCGTGCCATTTGAAAATGCATTTTCTCTTATATTTGCTTCTCAAAATTTCATCAGGGTTATATGTTATTATTCTTTTCAGAGCTCTTATTTAATCAAGTACATTAGAATATCATCTGTAAGAAAGGTAGGGTGTTAACATGAGAAAATAATTGTTAAGGTATCTGGAACATTGCCTGATTCTTTGAAGGGTTATCATGAAAGTTTGTTCACTCATTGGTGCATGGATTATTCATTCCAAGCACATTAAGCTCTCAATACCAGAAATGCCAATATAGGATCAATAATTTCTGTGCTAGGTGTTGGGAGATTCAAATATAAGAGATCCTGAGTCCTGATGGTATAGTGTGTAACATGTTGAATGACTCACCAGCCGCTTCATGGGATAAAGAGCGACCGTTTCCTCCAGTAAAGATTTAAGCTTCTAAAATCTGAGAGACTGGAATTTACTCAGTGGCAGTGAGTTTGGGTTTGGCATCCATCAAAATAGTCTCAGAGATGTAAGTGGCACGCTCTGAGAACTTAATACAAACCAAACACTGCTAAGAGAGTCACATGCACCCAACAACCTAGTACTGAGGTATCTGACACTTCTGTACTATTTTTGTTTGATGTGTTATACTTAGATTTTAAAATTCTAACATTCTTCTGTCCTCAAAGTGAAATATTTTGGTGGTACGTCTAGTCTGTAGGGAGCTGAACTTCTAACCTGAAGGTCAACACTTCTCCGGTATTTTGAACCTAGAGGCTGTTAAAAGGGAGAAAGATGTGCAACCTCCTCCTGTGTATATTAGAGCCTGTGAGTGAATTCTGGCTTTATGGCACTATGTTTTTGAGTCTTTTGAGAGAAAAGTCTGTCCATGCAAACTTCCAGACTCTTGATCTGAACAGATAATGCTGCTGGTGTTGCTGATTGCTGTGGAGTTGACCAACTCACAGCAACCCTATGAACAAAAGACCTGAAGCCTTTCTATACCTATCGCTGTTTCTCGAAATTCATAGTTTCCAGAGGCGTGTTGTTTAGGAAGTGGATGCCAATCCGAATAGATAATAGAGATTCTTAAACTCTCATTTCTTGTTGAGGTGCTAGGTTCATGTTGCATGTTCTAGGGTGTGATCCCTAACTCAAACAAATATAAATCAGACTGTTCCCGCTCACCTGCTGGTCATAAGGTTTCTATGAGTTATAACTGACTCAGTGGCACCTAAAACCAACAACTACATGTCATTCTCCTACCACTCTATGCTTCCTTTATAACCCTAGCCATGATTGGCAGTTCCATATTTATTTTCATATTCTCTTTTAATTGTCTGTCTCCAAAAGGATACTATAAGATTTCCCTCGACATCCTTATTTTGTTCAAAACTCTATGTCAACTCTCTAGCCTGCACATACTAGGTGCCAAGGGACATGTATGCTCAGACTAGAGATTTGACATAGTGGTTTTGAAAGCCTTAAGACTGATTGTAAAAGTGCAGAGAGCATAGAAATAGCTTGTTTTACTTTGAAGTCAGCTACATAACATTCAGTACTATCTTTATTCCACTAGTGACTTTTATAGAAGTTGCTATTGAAATATTTGAGAGTTCAATGTTCATCTAGGAAGACGGGTATAAAAACAGCTGGTGGTTTGCTGATGAGAATGGGAGAAGAAATACTGTGTTAGATAAAGCCAAACAGGAGACAAGTCTGGGAGGTGGGGAAAGCTGGACATGGGAAGAGTGTGACCTTGGTGTCTTCCTGTCCTTACTTCCTGTCTCCCCAGGAAGTGTCAGTCAGAGGTTTTCAGGAAAAAGGTGTTGCCATGGTAACCAGAGTAGGCTCTTCCCCCTCAGAGCTGGGTGGGGCCAAGTCCTGTCTTTTACTCTAATTGGGCCCATACTTGGTGGTGGAGGTACATTAGTTTGAGGGCTTGGTTGTCCTTATGGGCAATCCAGAGCAGACAATGTCTTGTGTCTGCAGAATTCAACATCCATCCCTTCCATACACACTGAGGGCTCCAGACTAGAACGCCGTGCAGTCACTACTGAGCTCATTAAAGTTCAATCCAATAAAGCTGTTTTCTTGATAATTTGGAAACCCCGTCTTGCCTTTTTCAACTTCCAAAGTGTCTGTGAAATAAAGGAAGGGATTTTGGGGGCATTTTTCTTTCTCTGTCTTATATTTCATATCAAAATAGCACTTAAAAAAAAAGGGGGAGAGACACTCCAGCTAAAAAAAAAAACCTTACAATTAACATCTAAACAAGGACATTTTTCAAGAAAGTAAAAAGAGAGGCACTATTAATGAACGCAAGACACCACAGACAAATGGGCAGTTCTGGGCACCTTAGGAGACAGTACCATTGAAATAATGGTGATCAGGGACAGGTCAGAATCATCCCCTGGGATGATGTAGCCTTTAAATCTTGATGTTGTTAGATGCTGTCAATTCGATTCCAACTTACAACTACCTTTAATAGAACAAAACACTGCCTGGTCCTGTACCATACTCATAATTGCGTCTGAGTTTGAATCCTACATAGTGCCTGGTGTACAATAGGTCTTTGAACATGTTAACAGATGAGTGGACCCAGAGTTCTCCCGGGCTCAGTAAAACTGAGGGAGAACAAAGCCAGCAGCCCTTCCTGGTTGCCCACACAGAGGGAGATGGTTTCTGTTCGGGTAAAGCAAGGCTGGTACAGGTGTCTGTGTTCTGAGTTTACTCACTGGGAGCTGTGAATGGCTCAGTGCAATCTGCTGACACATCCTGAGAGGGAATGTGAAGAGGGTCTTGACATTTGCATGGGTGCTCTCTGCCTACAAAGTCTGGTAACTCTTACTTCTGGGCTCTTACTCCTAGAGTGCATGTGGCTGAACCCCGTATTTCATAATTTATAGGGTCCTGGTGCCACATGATGGCATCAGCAAAAAGGGCCTAAAGTTTCCTTCTGGGTCAGCCAGAGATCCCCAGAGCCGCTGGCCCGCCCAGTACAGAGCGGCCTTGCTGGTTCTCACCCCTCCTCCACTGGCCTGCCTGTTCTTCAGGATGAGTGAAATGGTCCACTGACCCCTGAGGAGCAAAAGGGCATGTTCAACTTTTTCAGACGTTAAGGACATTCTCAGTGACATCAGAACTCAGCCCTCAAGCCAGCAGTCCCAGACGGAGAACAGGGGCAAGGCCTGGCCATGTGTCCCCTACCAACTTTAACCTGGTCTTTAAATGTACCAGCTCCAGTGGGCTCCTTCCTCCTGCCCGCTGAGTGCTTTGTCTTCTTCCCATGTCTTGGGAGAGATCTGTCTCTTCTGACAGACTTGAGATTCCAGACCGAACTTTCCCATGCCACCGTCCCTCAAAATAGCCCGCGCCGAGCTGTATTTATAGCTGTGTGAGACTCTAATGGGCCAATTTGTTTGAATTTCCACTGCTTTTGTGTTGAACTTACCCCTCACCCGTGGGCAGTCTCTTCAGCCCTTTATTGATGGGGTGTGTTCGGGTGGAGGGGCCCGTGTTCAAGATGGTAGCTGTATAGAGAGTGGGGACTGTTTTGCATATTTACTGTTCTTTCAAGCCGGTTTTTTGAGAGAGAGAGAAAGAGACAGAGAAAGAGGTTTCTGTAAGTAGCCGGGACAATGAGAACAAGGCCGGCTGTATGCCAAGCATGGGATCCCGGCCAAAACACATATCATTAGCTTGGACCAGCTATAAGCAAGGAAATGAGAAACATATGTTGGAGAGCAAGGTTAGGAGTGAGGGACTATGGGTCAGTGACAGTCGCCCTAAAACTTTTCCCTTGTTCTTCAGCTGTGGCCTGGTGGTGTCAAATGTCATTTCAACTGCCTTGATTTCTCATGGTGGGGCTGCATGTGGCTTTTCTTTTTTTCTACTCCTGCTGTTTCCTGATGGGAGATTTTGGGAGAGGAAGAGAGAACAGGCAGGGGAGGGCCTGTGTGGTAGTTTCTCTCTGTTCTGGGAAAATAACCACCTCGTTTCCCGTGATGCTCTCTGAATTCCTCACCTTTCCTGAAATAATGGCTGGGTGTCTCTCAAACTTGGATTTGGATCACTAGTGAGGCAAGAACGAAGGGAGGCTTTGCGCGTTTTTCCTAAATATAATTAGATGCGCTCATTACCTCACACTGAAGGACTTTTGTCCCGAGATGGCCGTATCCACTCGCATTTTATCATATTAGCAGCTATTTTTGCCCTGACACTTTCGTCCTTTCCTCTCCTGAGAGATCTGGAGTTGATTTTGTGAGTCTGAAGGCCACACCCAGGGAAGCCCGCCTGGCGGAGCACTGGATGCTGGGTCTGCATTCCTTTGGCCCTTCCCGATTCCCATTCGTTTTCCTTAAAGTTTTCCCCGGACAGTTGCTAACAAGGCTCTGCTCTCTCCCACTGCAGGGTCAAGACTCCTGTTCTCTATAAAATGCAGATGAAGAACAGTATCACATGAAGCTCAGAGGCGGTCCCTGGAGAGCAAGATGTGGCTACTGTTCTGAAGTCGACCACAGACAGCTCTAGACGGCTGCCAGGAAAAGTCATCAGGCTCAGATGCCCGGCTTTGGCCAGAATAACACAATGGCCATGAACTTATCCAGCTGTTCCCATTAGGGAAATGGGTGGAGGTGGAAACCAGGCCATTGCAAGCCTGGATGACTGAGAGTAGAGGGAAAAGGCTCTTGCATAAAGCCCCTCCACTTTGCCTTCTTTTATTATCTGAGGATCAGTGTTAGGGTGAAAACCAGTTAAAAAGAATTAAAACATCTAGACACTGGTTCTCTTTTTCTTCCTTCTTCAGTTTTTCTGCTGAAAATAAATTTTGTGCTGAGTTTTTGGCTCTTAAAATTCCTGGGTGTGTGAGTGTCCTGAAGGTATCAGGCAGAGGCAATGACTCGCTTGGGGTAAACCAGGCAAGCCTGTTTCCCCTGGAGGGACTATCTTCACTTTTTTAGCCTTCTTTATTTCCCCCCTTCTTCTCCCCAAACTGCAGCTTCTGACTAGCAACTTTCTCTTCTCTCCATGGACACTTACTTCCTTGGTCACAGGAGGAAGTCTTATTTGCTATTTCCTTCTGTGCACTCCATGGATCTAGATGTGTGTGTGTATCTACTGCACTAAACATGGAGGAATACGGTCAAACCGTAACATGAAAATAATGGGTAGTTAAGTCTTAAAATAATGGTGATGCAGGATCCTGGTGCTGTTAGGTGTCCATGAGCTAGTTCCAACTTAAAGCAACAAAAACATGTACAGCAGAACCAACCCAGCCTGATTGTGTGCCATCCTCAGCAAAGTCTAAGGTGTGTAAGCCCACTGTTACAGTGTGCCAGTCTGTCTCCTCAAGGGATTTCCTCTCTTTAGCTGATCCTCTCTATTTCCAAAATGTCTTTCTCTGGGTACTGGCCCCTCCTAATACTGTGCCCCAAATGAGGTGAATGTTCACCATCTTTGCCTCTGAGAAACATTTTGTCTGCACTTCTTCCAAAAAAATGTGTTCGTTCTTGTTGCCACTCATGGTATATTCAGAATTTTTCACCAATACTACCATTCAAAGGCATACATTCTTGGATTTGCCTTAACCACCACCTAACCTTCACTTGTATTCGAAGCAACTCAAAATGCCTTGGCTCATGTACTATACGATCCTTGTGAGGTGCTTGGTAATTTTCCCATTTCAAGGGATTTATTTCTTTCTCCTTTCCTGCCCTTTAATGGTTAAAAGGACTGGTCTTAGGTTTGTGCCTACATTCTCTGAGTTCTTTCGGTGTTTGGAAGCCTGTCAAATATCGATGCAGCCAAACCCTGCCTCAAATCCCATCATTTGATATCATCTCCTCTAGTACCACCTTCCTCGTTGAGTCACATTCACTCATTCTTGGAACCAGTAAGCCCTTTTACCTGGACCTTCCACGTCTTCTCTTGCTCCATTTCAGTCATGCCATGTAGCAGGAGTCTTAAAAAGCTCAAGTTAGATTAAAGGTATTTCCCTGCTGAAAACTGCTAGACATTGACAGTTTCTCCAATTTGATTGTGAGACTTCTTTCACGCTTTATATTCCAGGCAAACCACTAAAGTGGGGCTAATAATACTGGAACCCTGGCAGCACAGTACTTAAGCACGCTGCTGCTAACAAAAAGGTTAATGGTTCAAATCTACCAGTTGCTCCATAGAACAATTAAGAGACTCTTCCTTAGAAGGGAGCTCTTCCTTGATTAGACTTTTTAAACAGGTTCCCAGCTTTTTAACATTCATTCTATCGGCTTTCTCCGAAATACCCTATTTGTTTACTTCACGTAATTTTTATTTTTTTCAAATCTATAGTCCTATATTATTTCCTTGCAAGAGGGCAGGGTTAGCTCTGTATATTTCTATCTAGCAAAGACATTGTGGTGAATGAATGCATAAATGTGATGCTTCAGTCCTACCCTGAAACCCAATGCAACAGGGAGGTACAAATGACTTAATAATCACTCATTCCCTCTCCTCTTCCTAGATCAGAGTCATGCACAGAGCAACTTGTCTCCTGCGCCACTCTCTTTTCTCCAACTCCACCTTCATCTATTCTCCTCTCCTTTTGTGATTATTAACTCTGGTCTCTTGGCATTGAAATTAGCCACCCCACCACTGCCCTAGGATTTGCTATTTATGTAGGCCAATATCTCCTTTGAGAGGCTCCCACATTCATTGGTATGTAAATGATAAATAATAGAATATGCAATGCCCAAAGTGAGAGTGATGACTTATACCTGCTCATCTGCCAAGTTAGAAGGGTTTGGGGATGAATTAACTCATCATCTACCATTAAGAGATCAATGTTGATGCAATTATTACTCCATGAATATCCAAGATCAGGTATCTTATAACTCTACCTGAAAGCCCGAAGTAGTGGTAGGAAATCAGGTGGAGGTGACATCATGGTGTCCATTTGCGATCCTTATCACAACTCATTATCTGTCTATATTATATTATAGTATATTGAAGCTCAGTAACATGAGCTAAGAAGGAGTAACCTGACCTGTCCTCATGAATCTCTCGCTCATAGCCAAGAACACCAAAATGGAAAATGCCTTCAACTAAATTTTTTATTATTTATTGATTGAGAGCCTACCCCCTCCCTCTTTCTTAAACCCTCCATGCACTTTGCTAATTACGTCTTTGGAAATAATTTTGGTTTTCCATTCACTCTAATGCTGCCACCTTTGGGAAGAAATGTAGCAGTGATGGAACTTAAGCTGAGAGCTAAGCTTCTCATGGAAGTGCTGGTTCAGGCCTACCCTGAAATCTAATGCAATATGAAGACAATGATGCAATTATGAGAAATAGCAAAAGGCTTGCATCAGAAGGATTCTCCTTCATCCATAGAAGATGTGAGAGAACAGATGTCTTTGTCATTTCACCCTTAGATCCACTGGATTTGTATTCTCATTGTGGCCAAGCCATGCAACAAAGTTTGTCCCATCAGCACATTTGAGGTACTTCGTTCCTTGATTAAAGCCACTAATTTATCTGAAGATAAAATATTTTTCTCTTCTGAACTAGAGTATCTAATGATTTTGGTTATTAAGAAAAAGCCAGGTGGTTATTATTTCCTTTCAGAAGAAGAAAATGCCTTTCATGATATGCATAAGACACTCCATCGTAGATATTCGAATGGATAGAAGATAGCTAGATTTTAATTATGGGGATTTGGGAACAAAACAGAATGAAGACGTCCAAAGGGAAGGAGAAAATGTTTCCTTAATGTGAAACAAGACAGAGAATCAGAGTCCAAGTCCTCCTATAGAAGGGTAAGCAACGGACAGCTGACTGAAAAGGTTGGAAGTTTGAACCCACCCAAAGGAGCTTTGGAAGTAAAGTTTGGTTATTGGCTTCTTAAAGGTCATAGTCTTCAAAATCCTATGAAGCACAGTTATACTCTATAAAAAACAATGGGTTCCCATGATTTGAAACTGACTTGACAGCAAGTGGCTTGGTAGTTTGGTTTTTACAAACACACACACTCATACACACACCCCACCTATCACAACAGAACTTTAAGTTTAGAAATAATTTTTCTTGAATGACTACTAAACATTACATTGCAATTTTGAGAATACAGGTGTCCTTCTCAAGGTTGGGAAGAATGCATCACCGGTAAGATCTCTGTCTAAAGAGCCAAATTATTGGAGTGAGGTCAACATTAGCAATGTTGCTATGTCAGAGATTCTACCTTTCCACAGATAGCAGACTAGACCAAACTAAGTTTTTTTAAATTAGATTTGAGTCAAAGAGGTAGCCAAGCTCTGTTTAAGCCAACAACAAAAAAAGTAAATATTGATTGTCTACTAGGTATAAAGAATTAAAAAAGATACAGGCTTTGTTCTTAAGGAATTTATAACTTAGTGGAGGTATCAGGCATATAAACCACCTTTAATGTAAAGCATTACAATAGAAAGGACTGAGGAAGGAATGTGGGCAATTAGGGTTGAGACTTCATAGGGAAAGACTTGTCAAAGATGCTGCTGCATAAAACAGCATCAAATGTGGAAGAAGTTTCCACTAGTAGAAGCAGGCCACTTCCTGGTAGGCACCAAAGAACTATTCTAACTTGTGGGACCAGCTTGCTAGTTAGGTGCTGAAACCCACCTAGCCGTAACTTTGACCATGTAGTTCTATATTTATCCTCTGATGGAACAGAAATTAACTTAATCTATCACACACACTAGATCTGAAAATGTCAGATTAAATGCACCAATTTCTTCAACTCTTTCACTTATAGAATAATCCCCTAAATCCTTCAATAACTGAGTATTCTTCTTTTGAACTTTCTACTTTATCTCTGTCCATCTCTGTATGAAATACTGAAAATAGAACATAACATTTTAGACATATGCTGACCACTAAGATAATTTCTCCACTTCTCATGATCTATCCATCCAA